TATTTACGGGCTATACACTTTGCTTGTTTAGTCTGCCATCGGATGGTCAAGGAATATTGCATCCAGCTTACGGCACAGACATATGACAACGTAGCTATTGGCCTCAAGCAGTTTATGGCGTTTTGGCAAACGTTGTTTGAGTGCAGACCGGTAGCTACCGTCACGCTTGTTACGACAGTCGCCGCTTTGAACCGGTAAAATAGACGGTAGTCTCTGCCTCAATCATTTCATTCAGCCCATTACGGTATATGCCAATAGAACGCCCTCTATGAGTGAATTGCGATGTCATTTTCAAACATGAATTTCTCATTACGGCTCTATTGCGGTGACAGCGAGAGTCATTAAGCCAGAGCGTAGTCCTGCTATGACGAATTTGGATCTATGCCATTGTCAGCTTAAATTCATATACAAATCCACTAGTGTGACAAAATTCAAGTATTACACAGTGGGAAAAACAATTTCTGATCAGAAACATCACTAAGGGTCGGTTCCTAATGGGACTTACGAATGTCTGAACCTTGAATGGAGAAAGAATACTTGACGACGTCGTTCGGACTACGTGCCGGTGCCATCTTGACGTCGTAGTAGTTTCGGAAGCGAGACTCATGAGTCAGGAACAAATCGATGGAAGATTGAATGGGCGGGAAATACAAAACCGTGCTGTTGTAGACCTGATTTCTCCGACCTGATTTCTCAAATTGCGAGAGGTTCTTCAACCTTAGTAGAGTGCGTTTGTGAGTTTGCGTCCTGTGACCTGTCTGGTAATTGGCAAGCACGCTGCTCCAAGAATTGTTGTCGCACAGCCGCCGACGAATTTGTCAAGCGAGGACGACACAGACCGCTTCTGTGACTGTACAGACCGCTTCTGTGACTGTACAGACCGCTGTCGACAGTCTGTAGCGGGATGGCTTGACAGTTGACGCCTGCTAGTATATTTATTGGTCCGGGTGTACTCGGATACTCGGACAACACGGACTAGGTGTCGCAAATGGCAGTGGACTACGACTAATTAACTCTGTGCGTCAAACGGTCTCGTTGCCGGAGGTTCGTTATTTCCACACAAACGGAAC